AAAGGTGAGTGTAGGTAGGGAGTTAGGAAGGGGATAGGTCAGTCCAGGGAGGACGGACAGGTCAAGGGGGCGGGATGAGGTTGGTCGGTAGGAGATGGAGGTGCGGCTTGAGGTGGGAGGAGGGGATAGGTGGGAGGAAGAACAGGTTAGGGAGGCAGGGACGAGCTGGACTGGTTTTGGGATGCGGTAGGGGGAGGGGAGATTTTGAAACTTGTGAAATCCACATTGATACCATTGGGCTGCAGGGTTCCCAAGCGGAATATGAGTTGCTGTTCCTGCAACCTTCGGGTGGCATCGTTGTGGCACTGCAGGAGGCCCAGGATGGACATGTCGTCTGAGGAATGGGAGGGGGAGTTGAAATGGTTCGCGACTGGGAGGTGCAGTTGTTTATTGCGAACCGAGCGTAGGTGTTCTGCAAAGCGGTCCCCGAGCCTCCGCTTGGTTTCCCCGATGTAGAGGAAGCCACACCGGGTACAGCAGATGCAGTATACCACATTGGCAGATGTGCAGGTGAAGATCTGCTTGATGTGGAAAGTCTTCTTGGGGCCTGGGATGGGGGTGAGGGAGGAGGTATGGGGGCAGGTGTAGCACTTCCTGCGGTTGCAGGGAAAAGTGCCGGGTGTGGTGGAACTGGAGGGGAGTGTGGAGCGGACAAGGGAGTCACGGAGAGAGTTGTCCCTCCGGAAAGCAGATAAGGGTGGGGAGGGAAAGATGTCTTTGGCGGTGGGGTCGGATTGCAGATGGCGGAAGTGTCGGAGGATGATGCGTTGGATCCGGAGGTTGGTGGGGTGGTAGGTGAGGACGAGGGGGATTCTTTTTTGGTTCTTATTGCGTGGACGGGTTGTGAGGGATGAGGTGCGGGAGATGTGGGAGACACGGTTGAGGGCGTTCTCGACCACTGAGGGGGGGAAGTTACGGTCCTTGAAAAACGAGGGCAACTGAGATGTACGGGAGTGGAATGCCTCATCCTGGGAGCAGATGTGGCGGAGGCGAAGGAATTGGGAATAGGGGATAGCATCTTTGCAGGAAGGTGGGTGGGAGGAGGAGTATTCTAGGTAGCTGTGGGAGTCGGTGGGCTTGAAATGAATATCGGTTTCTAGGTGGTTGCCCGATATGGAGACAGAGAGGTCCAGGAAGGGGAGAGAGGTGTTAGATGGTCCAGGTAAACTTAAGGTTGGGGTGGAAGGCATTAGTTAAGTGGATGAACTGTTCGAGCTCCTCGTGGGAGCACGAGGCGGCGCCGATACAGTCATCAATGTAACGGAGGAAGAGGTGGGGTTTAGGGCCGGTGTAGGTACGGAAGAGGGATTGTTCTACGTAACCTACAAAGAGGCAGGCGTAGCTTGGGCCCATGCGGGTACCCATGGCTACCCCCTTTGTCTGTAGGAAGTGGAGGAATTGAAAGAGAAGTTGTTGAGTGTAAGGACGAGTTCGGCTAAGCGGATGAGGGTATCAGTGGAGGGGGACTGGTCGGGCCTGCGGGACAGGAAGAAGCGGAGGGCCTTAAGGCCATCTGCATGGGGAATGCAGGTGTAGAGGGACTGGACGTCCATGGTAAAGATGAGGTGTTGGAGACCGGGGAATTGGAAGGTCATGAAGCATACTCCTCTACGTTTTTTTTTTAAAAAAGGCAGAGAATATTGTAGTTACAGAGGGTTAACTTTTACGAATAAAATACTTTTTCAAATAATTTCTTATGGCAATAGAAATATTTTGTTCCCTTCAGATGAAGATCAACTTTATTTTAGTGTGACTAAAACTTAAAAGTATTGGTTCGTGTCTTAAGGAAGCATACTGTCGAGTACTTTTTAAAAAGTCAGTTGGAATTAAATTTGTAAAAGGGAGTGCTGGGAATATAAATGCTTTACAAAGATGTAGCAATTCAGAATACAGAGGAAAGTGAAAGTTTCCCATAAGTTGCCAAGATAATTTATGAAATTACTTTTTTTACAATCTGTTCAGACTTTTACATTCCAGTCTTTAAACTATATATTAATATTTTTCCTTTCAATCTCTTTCACAGCCTGACATGGTGCAATCATTAGCAAGCATAAAACCGACAGTTAATGACGAGGACCTGGAAAAGTTGAAGAAGTTCACAGAAGACTTTGGTCAGGAAGGCTAAACCATTAATCTTAATTTGCACAGCAAAATATTTTTCTTTCCTTGTACATCTCTCTTTTTCTATTCACAAATCAGTTGCATACGATAGTAAGTTTATTTTTATCATTTTATTATTGTAAAGTCAAGCACTGTTATTTCAGGTCATGGAATTTATTAAATCCAACTTTATATAATCTTAATTTCTGCATTTGCCTATCACAAAACTACTTCTCATATAAATATCTAAAGAGGTTCCAGACTTCTTCAAGGGCTTAGCATGATATTTAAACAACATTACTGGAATAATTGAGAATCTTTAAAAGAACTAAGTAAGTTGTGCATATAGTGTGCTGATGTCTTTAAGGAATGTAAAGTAATCTTGGGTATCATTGAAATATACTAAATACTTTGTGAATGGGGCATTTTAAATTTGCACATAAGATCTAATACATGTACTACCCATATGATTGGATCATTTCATTGTACTTCAGGTAGACTTTAATTTCTGACTGTGTAAAATATAAACTTGAAGCTTTGTATTGGAGAAATTGGGATTACTTATTCATTTATTTGTATTGAAAGAAATATGAATGAAGTGAACAACTTCTATATATGTAGATTTTTTTATAACAGCAACCTTGTATTTTCTGTTTAATTTCTGTTTATTTGTAAATAAAACTTGTGTCTACCCAATGGTGATTGTTTTAAATTCTCACTGGAAGACTCTTTATTTCAATTGATTTTTCAAAATATTTTTGCTTGTCCTATTCAGTAACAAGATAGACACATTATAGAAATCTATATCTGCTTCAGTAATAGGTTACAGATGGTGGGTGGTAGGAGGTAGCTTTATTTTGGTACTGACTTCATTCTTCTTCCATTGCATTTGCTTCTGTGCTGCATTCTCTAGGTTGGAGTCCTCTCAGCCTGCAGACTTGCAACTGTCCCCCAATTGGACCACGGTTCTCCCTCACCTACCCCCCCACCAAAAAGTGTCCTTTTAACCTGCCTTTGATTTCTTCATTCAGAACTGTCAGTGACCTCAAATGCCTTCATTTTTCTGCCCCCTCACCCACTCTGACCTGTGTCCCACTGAAATTGTCCTCTGGTCTAATTCTGTTATCTAACCTGCTGACGATGCTGCTGTTGTCTGGTGTATTGGCCTTTACTTTGCAGAAGCTAAGTGCCAACTCTCAGACACTGCTTTCATTCTGCTCTCAACTATGATCCCACCACTGAACATCAGGCTGTTGTTTCCAGGACAGTTATGGATGTCATGTCCTCAGGATAACTTGCCTTGTCAGTTTCCCAACTTACAGTTCCCAGCCCTGTACAGTCTGCTTCTAAGTGTTTTCCAACATTCACAAAACCCATTATTTCAGCCTGTTCCTAACGTACTGAACTTATTTCTTCCTACTTTGACTCTTTGTTCTCTCATTTAATCTCCTCCCACCTACATTTGTGATTCTTCTGATGCTTTACATCAGTTCCACGATTTACAATTTCCTAGCCCTAGCTGTCTCTTCATTATGGAAATGCTGTCCATACTGCAACTCTATCCCCCCTCATTGGTGCCTGCTATTTCCTCAATGATTTGTATCTTCTAATACCGTTCTCTCTCTGACTGCCCTTGTTTTCCCTTTGAATGATTTCTCTTTCAGTTTGTCTCACTTTCTGCAAATAAAAGGTGTGGGGATGGGTACGCACATGGGTTCCAGTTATGCCTGTCACTTTGCCAAGTACAGTCGGTTCTGCTATAACGTGATAGTTGCATTCCTGTGCAACATCACGTCATAGAAAATCACCTATAGAAATAATGGAGCCTATGGGAAAAGCGGGGTTGGGGGAGACCACTGAAAAGTATCACTTAGAATCGCTCAAAAATCACTGAAAGCCTAGCACAGGATAGCACAGTTTGAATAAATGCTTAATTCATATCTAAAAATGAAATAAAAGTAAATTTAACAACTTACCTTGAAAAAATGTAAGATGACTTGATGGAGGATGACGTTTTGAGGTTGCTCTATTGGTAATGCAGGAGCTGAGGGTCATCATCATCACCTTCAGCACTTTACAGCAAAGTCTGCAAAACAATTACATGATGCTGGCGAGACTCTTTTGGCCCTAACGTTGTGCATGCTCAGGACAAAGCCTGCGAAACGATCATGTGATGTCAATGCGTACGCTGCGCACTGATGGAATCGTGTTTATAGCCAACACAAGTTCATGTTTTACAAATAGTGTTCCCCTTATTCGTCCATTGCATTATAGTTCATTTGCATTGCTGGAACATGCACTATAGCAGAACCGACTGTAAATGGTACACCCTTGTTTCCATCCTACTTGGAAGTCTCCCACAGTTTTCTCCAGTAAAACGGTGACTACCTCAGTGCTACTTCCTACTTTCATCTGGAATTGGAGAAGATTTTGCTGCCAATTTCCATTCTTCCTTCACCTTCACCTGGTCCATCTCTCATTCTTCCCTTCCTTGTCTTCTCTGATTTCATTTCTGGTGATAGGCTATCCATTAATCTCTATTACAAACCCATTGACTCCCAAGGTTACCGAGACTGCATTTCTCTCACCCTGCTTCCTGTAAGGATTTCATTCACCCAGTTTCTCCAAATCCATAGTATCTGTTTCAATAACTCACAAGGTGCTTCTAGCATGTTGTCTTTTTCCCTCAGCCAAGGATTTGCCTCACTAGTTGACAGTGCCCTCAGCCGTGTCTGACGCATTTTCCGTACCACTTCTTTCACTCATTCCCTCCTTTCAGAACAATAATAGGATTCCCCTCATTGTCACTTGCCACTCCACCAGCATCTCCGTCAAAGGATTCATCCTCTGCCATTTCCACCAATTCCTGCAGGATGTCAGCAGCAAACACATTTTCCATGACACCCTTACCCACTCCTCTGTCAGTTCTGACATCACTTAACCATCCTCTTGTATTACCTTCCCATGCAATTGCAAATGATGTTATTTTTGTCCCTCCATCCTCACTATCCAAGACCCCAAACTCACCTTCCAGATGAAACTGATTTACTTCTGTTATCAATCCAGTCTACTATATTCCCTGCTTACAATGCAGTTTCCTCTGTATCAGTGAGACCAAATGTAGACTGGATGGCCACTTTGTGGAGTACCCCCACTCTGCAAGAATGACCCTGATCTTCCAGCCACTTGCTATTCCACATACCATCTTATTCTCAGTAACATTTCTGTCCTAGACCCAGTGTCATGTTCTAGTGAAGCTCGATGAAAGCTGGAGGAACACCTGATTTTATGCATTGGCGTTTTACAATCTTAAGAATTAAATATTGTGCAACAATTTCAGATCATGAACTCTGTCCTTTTTTTTTTAATGCCTTCCTTCCCCTCTCCCCAAACACCCCAGTCTCTCCAGTGTCATGCTTTCAGCAGAGGTGGTGACCTATTTTCTATTAATACCTACCATTAACATCTACTGTTCACTTCCATCTCTTCTCTACTACCATTAGCACTCCCTTTGCTTTCTGCTTTGAGCAAGCTTACCATCAGTTCCACTTGCTGCTCATCCTGTCTTGTTGAGCATAAAGCCTGTCACTTTTCCAGCCCTCTTCGGTTCTGACAAATCGTCAGATCTGGATCAACATTAATGCTTCTTCCATTGATGTTTCTGTGAGAACCTGCTGGGCTATTTGATTTTGGAAGTAAGGCTATTCACTTTGGTCATAAGAACAGAAAACCATTTTTTTTGAAAGGCTTGCAACTTATAAATCAAATACAATAGTGATAACAGGATGAGTGATTTTGTTGTTGCAACATGTGGATACCAATGGGATCCACAGCAAACATATCTGTGCTGAATGCAGCCTGATGAACTTTGGATCTGAGTTGAGGAACTGGAGTATGTTCTGCAGACATTGCTTGCATCTTTGAAGGGGAAAGTTACTCTTTTTTTTTGCTCCTTTGCTCCAGAGGGTGGTCACAGTTCAAACTAGGTTATTTAAAATTGGTCTGTGCTCAGAAGAAGGCATAACTGCAGGTGAGGCATGTGTGAGGACATGGGAGTTAAATTGAGGAGCTTCAGCATCTACAATTGTCTGATGATGAGATATTTGTGAACTGTGTAAATGAGAGCAGAGACAGCAGGGAGGATGAGCAACCTGACCATACAGGTCTTGGTACAGGGAGCCATTCAAGGGAGGGAAGAAAATAAGTAATCTTGTCATGGTAGAGAGTAGTATAATCAGGGAGATAGATAATGTCTGCAGCTGTGAGCTGGAGTTCTGAAGGCTGCATTGCCTGCTGGTGCCAGAGTCAAGGACATCTTGGGACTGAAGAACAACTTGGAGAGGGAAATAAGGGGTCCAGTTGTCATTGTCTATGTTGGTTCCAGTTACGTTGGTAGGACTAGAAAGGAGGTCTTGAAAGACTTTGAATAGCTTAGGAGTTAAATTAAAAAGCAGAACCTCCAATAATAATCTCAGAATTACTCCCTGAGCCATGAGTAAACTGGCAAAGTGTCAAAAAAAATGTGAAAGTTTAAAGAAGGCTTAAAGTGACTCAAAGATTGGTGTGGGTGGAATGGGTTTCAGATTGTGCATTAGTACTGAGGTAGAAGGAAGCAGTTCTGGCAAGATTGTCTTCACTTGAACTGAGCTGGGATCAGTATCCTGACAAATCAAATATCTCGGACTGTACGGGGGGCGCTTTAAACTAATTAGAGGGGGGAGGGTTTGGGAAAGGTCAAATGTATGCTTTCCATAAGACCATCAGACCTTAAGATAAAGGAGCAGAATGAGCCATTTGACCCATGGAGTCTACTCCACATTTGATCATGGGTGATATGTTTCTCAACATCATTCTCCTGCCTTCTTCCTCTAACCCTCGATCCCAATACCAATCAGAAAACCTATCTATCTCTGTCTTAAACATGCTCAATGACTTGACCTCCACAGCCTTCTGCAGCAATGAGTTCCACAGATTAATCAGACTCCGGCTGAAGAAATTCCTCCTCATCTCAGTTCTAAAGGATCATCCTTTCACTCTGAGGCTGTACGCTTGGGTCTTAGTCGCTTTTACTTGTGAAAACATCTTCTCTATGTCCAATGTCTTCAGACCTCTCAGTATTCTGCAAGTTTCAATAAGATCCCTCTCATTATTCAAAACTCCATCGAGTACAGTCCCACAGTCCCTAACTGCTCCTTATATGACAAGCCCTTCATACCTGGGATCATTCTTGTAAATCTCTTCTGAACCCTCTTCAATGCCAGCACATCCCTCATTGGATTCAGGGCCCAAAACTGCTCTCAATATTCCAAATGCAGTCCGGCCAGAGCTTTACACAGTCCCAGCAATGTATCTTAGCAGATGTATTCTAGCCCTCTTGAAATGAACATAAATATTGCATTTGCCTTCCTAACAGCCAAATGAACCTACAAATTAACCTTAACAGAATCCTGAACTAGGACTCTCAAGTCCCTTCATGCTTCAGATTTCTGAAGCCTTTCCCCATCTAGAAAATAATCTATGCCTCTATTCTTCCTGGGAAAGTGTGTAATCTCACACTTTTCCACGTTGTATTCTATCTGCCACTTTCTTGTCCATTCTCCAAGTCCTCCTGCAGCCTCCCCACTTCCTCAACACTCTGTCCCTCTCCCTGTTTTTATCATCTGCAAACTTAGCCACAATGCCCTCAATTCCTTCATCCAAACCATTAACATTTAATAAGAATAGTTATGGTCCCAACACTGACTCCTGCAGAACTTCACTAGTTAGCAGCTGCCATCCTGAAAAAGACCCTTTTGTCCTTACTCTCTGTCTTCTGCTGGTCAGCCGATCTTTTATCCATCCCAGTACCCTGCTCCTAACACAATGGGCTTTTATCTTATTTAGCAGTGTCCTTGTCAAAGGCCTTCTGGAAATCCAAATAGATCACATCCACTGGCTCTCCTTTGTCTAACTTGTTCATTACCTCCTCAAAGAATTCTAAAAGATTTGTCAGTCATGACCTCCCTTGATGAAGTTATGCTGATTCTGCCCTATTTTACCATGCACTTCCAAATACACCACAATCCCATCCTTAATAAAGGACTCTGAAATCTTACCGACAACTGAGGTCAGACTAACCGGCCTATAGTTTCCTATGTTCTGCCTCCCTACTTTCTTAAACAGCGTGTTACATTAGCCAGTTTCCTGTCCTCTGGGATGCCTCTACAAACTACACAGTGCCTGACTTATCTACCTTCAGACCTCTCTGCATTCCCAGCATCTTCTTCTTAGTGATCGCCACTATCCTCACCCCGACTCTCTCGAAGTTCTGGTATGCTGCTGGCATTCTATGATGAGTGGCTGTGTTAATTGGAACTTACTCTGTGGAGTATAAAAGAATAAGAGGTATTCACATTGAAATATACAAGATTCTGAAGTGCCTTGGCAGGGTAGACACTAAGAACTTGTATTTCCCTACTGGAGAAACAATACAGGCACTGTCTCAAGACAAAGGGGTGATCAATTAGGAAAGAGATGAGAAATTTATTCTGAAAGTGTTGTGTGTCATTCGAATTCTCTAGATGCTCCGTGATTAAATCTATTTAAGGCTGATTCAGATTTTTGGGTTTTCGGAGAAATCAAGTTAAAAACAGACAGGAAAGTTACGATGAAAGATCAGCAGTGATTATATTAAATGGTAGAGCAGCCTTGAGGGACCTTATAGTGTCTTCCTGATCCTATTTTCATGTTTGTTTATGTGAAGGTGAGCTGGAGAGTGATTTACTGGTATTAGTGCTGTAGCCTAGTGGCATGGTCACTGGACCAGCAACACAGGTGATCTGGAGGTCAAATCCCACTTGGTAAATGTATGAAATTAAATTAAATGAATTTCATATCGGGTGATTCTGCGAGAGGAAAAATAATCTTGGAAAACAGATTGTTTCTCAAAATCATCTAGTGTGTCAGAAGGGAGAAAAATGCTGCTTCAGGCAATATGGGACATGTACATTGAGGACTATGATCACTGTTGATTCTGTATTTGGATGGAAAGTCTTTCTCTTGAAGAAGGCCATTCTTACAGTGA